ATCCAGTATCAAACAACCTCGGCAGATAAAATAGACGCAAAAATTGAAATCAAGTGCGAAAGATAATGCCTGAGATCGGAAAGTTAACTTTCGGTAGACTGAAGAGCGGAGATTGGAAAAGCCGTCGCGGGGATGGCAGGAACGGAAGGAGGGAGGGAGGGAGGGGGGGAGGGAAGAAGACGACTTTATTTTACCAATTTTTTTCTTTTTTTACTTATTTTTATATGTACGGTCTAATGTTTCAGCCATCTGTCCTCCATTTTATTTTGATATTTTTGTGGAAAGTTCTATCTGTTTGCCTCTTCAAAATTTATTTAATGCTCTGGTTGTGGGAAAAAATAGAGTAACGGGTACTTGGTTTTATGTACCTGATGAGTCAACCCGGTTCTTAGATGCTGCCAGATTGGAATTTTTTCATTTCCTACGAAAAGTAGGGGATCTGTAAAAATAGGCTTTTAGTGGAGGGGACTGTCTCTGCAATCTACTACTTGTCTTCCTATTAGTATTTTATTATGTATGAGAATAAGAATGCACAATATATTTTAAAATTTTTAATTTAAATCAATAAAAAAAAGATACTAACTCATGAAACTAATATTTTCCTTGGCAAAAAAAAAAAAAAAAAAGGAATAAAAAAAATAATGATTTTCTTTTTTTGGCCAAGAGAATGATGATGTTTAAAAAGGGAAATAAATAAATAAAGAGAAGAGAATAATGTTGTTTAGTTAATGTTAATAAATAAGATTTTGGATCATCTCTATTGAGGTATTTCTAATGAGGGTGTGGTGAGGCGATATCCTTTTTTTATTTCTTTACTTTTAAAAAAATAAATTTAGAAAATGTGGCTTGAAAAACATAAGGAATGATAAAAAAATTCAAAACGTTTTGATAATTACAATTGGATAATTATAATGTTAGTATGATTATAAAATTTTTTTAAATATTTTTAATAAATTAATATATAAAAAATTATTAATAATATTTAAATAATTTTATATAATCTTAATTTTAAAATTTTAATAATATTATTAATATAACTTTAAGTATTCTCAAACAAAATCTCCATTAAATAAAAAAATCTCCTTTAAATATATATGAAATAAATAAACACACATTTTTAAATAATTTTATATAATCTTAATTTTAAATTTTTAATAAAATAATATTAATATAACTTTAAGTATTCTCAAACGAAATCTCCATTAAATAAAAAAATCTCCTTTAAATATATATGAAATAAATAAACACACATTTGAGAGTATTAGAGTTGAGTCAATAAACACATATTTTTTTTATTTTAGGTTACATAATAAAATATAATATTTTTTTATTTTTTCATTTATTTCATTTGTATATTATGTAACTTAAATTTAAAATCTTTTATTTTTTAAAAATTACTACTAATTAATTAAATTGTTAACAATAAACACACTCTTATGGTGAGGCATTGTAAATACTATTTATGTAAAACAAAAGTTTATTAGAAACTCTATTAAATATGGCGCTGATTTCTTTTATTTGAAATTTTCAAATGCAAGGCCACCAGCATTGACCGAGAAGATGTTCGATTTATCTGTGCTTGTACCAATTAAATAACCGTACGCAAAAGTTAAATTAACCTTTATATTACAATCAAAGGCTAATAATTCATACCGCAATTTATAAATTAAAAATTATGCTCAATATTTCAACATGTTAGTTTAAAAGATCTGTTTCGCTACGATCAGATTAATCTAAGAAGAATTTAGCTTTGAGAACAAAATAAAAATCTGGTTTTAACACTGTTTTCCTGTGGAATCAGCAGTTCAAAACCAAGGACTAATTCAACCTTTGTTACCAAGACAAATAGGGCACTAGGGCACTATTGTATATCAACCAATTCCAGGAGCAGCCAAGCAGACACAACAGTCAGGAGAGATTACATTGGTGCTACTGCACTCCACTCCATTTTGCCCAATCTACGAATTGCATACCACCATAAATGTTGTTGGCAAACCGCACACCTACTGTGAAGGCCATTGCAACAGGTGGGATGTTCTTTGCTAAAGGGGATGTTTCCACCAGGCGTTCCAAGCCATTAATGATTTGATAACGAGTGTTGGAAGATGCCGCAAGGAAAACACCTGATCATCCCGAAGAAATAATCACAACATTGAAGCAAATTTATTGCAGTACAACATCAAAGCGAAAAGTCTGTTTCAAGACCGTAAGTTTAGAGTTTAGACTTACCCCAAAGAGCAGCACTCTGCACAAGGGGTGGCACAGGAATGTCATCCTCAGATTTCTTTATGCTCCTAATCATATAGAAGATTATATTTGTAAGCAATCACCTCAAGAAACGAGAAAGCAGAAAAATAATGGAAATTTAAGATAGACAAGCAACTATATCATCTGCATCACATGGAAGGAAAAGGAGACAAAATCAACTTAATGATCATGTACACCACTCGTCATGAGGTTATAACTCAAAATTAACAGGTATTAGGAAGTGGAAAGACCAACTGTTTTTTCCACTCAGTGTCACATTCATGGTGGTGAAAAGTGACAATAGGAAGCTTATGAATGAATGAGACTGAGGAATGAATATGATCAATAAAATAGGTATCCTTGCAGATCTGTACCTTTTGGCGGTCATTATCATATTTGCAATGCCCTGGCCAATAAGACCACAAGTGAACCCTACTGAACCATATAATACACCCTGGGCAAGAATAGAAAAGAAAACCAAACATCAGAATATACTCTCCTCAGTCTTTTATTTCTTTTAGTAACTGCAAGAGGAGGGACACAAGAATAACAAGTGGATATGCTGAAACTAAAAGCTAGATTTCAGCATGTAGGGAAGTTCATCTTTGCAAGGAACTAGTACAAGTACCAAGTTCCTTGGATCCGATTGAGACATCACAACTAAAGCAGAAAATGAGAAGATGGAGAGAGATCACCTCCTTGTCAGGGTCATATGGTTATTGGTTACTGAGCATATCATACCTTGTAAAAGTATGTTCCAATTCGCTGTTTGACAGAGAATTTGCATCCTGGCCTTTCAGCTTCAAAAACACTGCATGGGAAAAAGGGGTTACATTTTGATTACCACCTAAGACTGTCCATTCATGAAAGTGGCAAGTAATTACTAATTAGACTTTCATTGTAAATGTTAGTCTTACGCGTATTTTTCAAGTTTCCATCACCAAACGGTTCACAAAGGTTATAATTAGATGGCAACCACCATCCCTTGAAATTAAGTTCTCTATTAGCTGTCATCTTCTGTGTTAAGGCTACATAATGATATCTAGGATGTCAAACGGACTTCTAAAAGAAAAGCACCTTCTTCCATGTTTCTCAAACACCAAGAACAGGAGAGGAATTTTTAGGGATTAAGTCCCTAACTGACATCACTCTAATCTCCATATTCTCTGGTACTGAGTAGAAAACCACAAAGTACATAGATTATAATAAAGCAGAATCCAATCTGGTACAGAAAACTGGTAAACAGGCATTTCTTTCACCAGGAGTTTGCTCCTAGCAGTGGAAATCGATGCATAATTTGCTAAAATGTGAGTTGTATTAGTGTTCAACATCCTTGTTTATTAATCAACATGAACAAATATATATATTGATACAGGATAATGATTTATGACCTGCTAGGAAGAGTGGCACAAGCATGTTGTATGCGCCCAAATAAACCTCTGGATACAGATGGCTGCCCAAAACGAGCATAAGGTGCTAACATACCAACCAAAGCAACGTCAACCACTACACCAACCAAAAGATCAGCAAGGAACAGCTCAAACTCTGACCAGAAATCCTTTCCCCTTTTCTGTACTTCCGCAAATGTTGCGCAACAGGAGTCAATTACTATCTGTGTCATGGCAAAGGAACCCAAAAATTTCAGGCCAAAATGGTAAATAAAAATACACTTCAATAGACCTTTCCCTATACACAGCAGCTAAAGCAAACCACTATATGCAATGGTCTCTCCATCTGCAGTACTATATAAGAAAATGCTAGAGCATCAATGAATAATTAATCCCATTGAATAAAAATAAAAAATTTAGCCTCAACACACCTCTATTCCAACTTTAAAAAGAAATGATGGATCTGCCAGCATTCGATTTCGGAGCATAGAACAGTATCTCATTAGAAAGCCTAGTGGCCAAACTGATCCCTGCGAAATGCTAATTCAGTGTCAAAATAGTTAAATAGATATGGAACATTTACAAAATCTCATACATCAAACCAGAAAAACACTCTCCACTGAAGTAGTTAAAGTTGATATAACCTGCAATTCCAAGTAACGGCTGAGAAACAATTCCCGGATTCCCGTGCTTTTTGCGGCCTCCATCATATCGGAAGGCAGCGATACACCTTTTGCTTCCGCCTCTTTCATCACGTCTTCAAACTTCAATAGCGGCCCGAATTCTGTCTCCTCGTGCTCGTCTTCATCACCGCCGCCTTCGCCGCCTCCACCACCACCAGTACTACTACCATCATCCCCGCCTCCATTATTGCCACCGCTCGGTTCCTTTGATCCTAAATCACCTTTTCCCCCCTCAGTTGAACCAGCGACAGCATTTTCTTCGGAATCCGGTTTAAAGCAATGGAGTTTAATCGCCGGACAATGTAACGGTGCCGATCCTGATAAATTCAATCTAATCGGTGATTCAGGATTATAGCTTCCTACATGAAAAAAAGCTCTAGTCTCCGGCATGCTGCAACCGCCATTTGGACAGCTTGAAAGATGCAACAAAGCATTGACGGTTGATGCCCGCAGCACCATTTTTGTACGGAGCAAAAGGTGCGACCAAAAGACTCTTGAGGAGAGAAACGGAGGAATAGAATACGCGGGGCAAAGAAAAGGGTATTGGCGCATCTGATACTAATAGCAGAGTGTGCAGGGTCGACAAGACTACGTGGCGACGGGAAAAGGATTTCGTCGCCTGAGAGATTCGAACTCTCGCGGGGAAACCCCATGTACTTAGCAGGCACACGCCTTAACCACTCGGCCAAAGCGACTCTTCGTTGGTGTGGGTTAACAACAATTTTAGTTATTGCCATGACGAATGGAGTATGAATTTCTTCAAATGCCTCAGTGTCTCCGTTAATCTTTCTGCAGAATGAACTTCGCTTGGATGAAATGAATCATAACGAAGAATTTTTTTATAGATAGCAACTCAAATTTTTTATATCTTCTGAATGTTGAACAAACTTGATTTACAGGGATGTACAAGTATAAGCCTTTATAGAAGGGAGGTGAAAAATAAATACCAAGGAAAAAACAGATGTATATCCAGGAAGGTGCTATGTGTTTTCTTTTCTGGCTCTTGAGGAGCCTTAAAAGAAAAAGGTTCATTCTGTACGTATTAGCATTGACACAATCTTCAGTATCAAACTATCAGCATCTTTAAGACAATCTTCTCTCCATGCAAGGCGGACAATTGCTTCTTTCCGAGTGGCTTGAATTGGTAGCATTGTTTATATCTTGAAACATGGATGTTAGTTTCCAGGTCTTGGCTCTCAAAACAAGGAGAAGCTTTTCCGGTGTCTAGATTGACGGGAAGAACGTGTTTGTTCAGCTGATGTTCTTGGAGTGGCGCCAGAGCTGTGAACAAAATCAGTTTGAACATCTGAGGATCGTGGAAGAAGCCTGCACCCAATTTTCCTGGCAATAAGGCGGGGGGAACTGAGTGAACTGTGTGACTTTGACACCCTTTTCATTTCTTGCTTTATTTTACTAAATTCCTCTTCGAGCTCCCCAACTCTAGACCTCATATTTTCCATGTCTACCTTCAAAACCTGGTTTTCACGCACAATTGTTACCCATCCATCTCTCTGCACAATCTGTCCTCGTGCCATCTCAGCTGGGCCTGCCAAGTGACCCGCTGGAGCACTTTCAGCATCCAAGACAGGGAAACAGCCAGCTAGAGCAGACCTCAAATGCATCTGCTCAAAGAACAAGACTTGCAACACAACTCTAAGTGGCAGTCTTTCGTTTTGGGAAGCATGGGCACAGGCATCAATGGAGAGTTTCTGGTAGTCGATGATGTTGCAGAGTTCTTCCTTCTCTCTCACAGACAACCAAGGATGTGCCTGCACGACAGTATCAGTCATTATAAACCTCGCAAATGATATTCTTTTTGTTTATCAAAAGACAAAAATTTGAGAAATAAATCCAAACCTTAAAATAGATATCCAGGGCTCTGTACAGTCCATCATGTAAAGATCTTGAAGATTCTGGAAGGGCCTCTGCTAGAGAACGTATATTCCCTGGTTTCAAATTGACATCAGAAGCAACCTCACCAAGATAGCTATCTACCAATCTAGCAACTCTTCTTAACCGTTCAGGTGATGGTGATGTTTCCAGGTCCGGTGAAGGTGGTGAAAATGATGTTAGTCCAGACTCTGATGATGGAAAATGGTGGATTATGCGATCAACACAATCAGCATTATATAGATTATCAGAATCTGAGTAATTAGGAATCAGAAGACCATCTAGGGTAGCCAGTTCTAGTTGCATTCCTATTCTCCTTTCCAAAGAGTCCAGACATGTTTTATCAACACCCAATATTAGTGCAACACGAAGAAGTCCAAGTAAAAAACGGCAGAAGGATTTGCCCTTCTTTTCTGGTAGAAGCTTTTCAACGGTTTCCAGTAAAAGCTTTTGATTCACAGCAGCAGGAGTGAAGCTAAAACTTGCAACCGTCCTAGTCTTGCTACTTTGTGTGCCTTGCCAACGGCCCAGACCTGGTAGATACTTTCTTGCATAGTACATTACAGCACCTGATATGTTTTCAGGTCTTATACCTCTTGCTTCCATGGTTTTGATTAGTTTTTCAAACAAACCTACACTCAAGTAGGAGATGTCTTCAAACCACCAGTTAGATTCTGAGCTTCTAATTCTTGCCCCAGTATTAATTCCATTCCATAGAATGCTTCCACCAGGGCTCTGCAGGCTACCATACATCATCATGGGCCAACCAAACAAACTAGGATCTGTACATACCATCATAGATAAAGCATTCATACATTTGTGCAATATCTGAAGCTTTTCTGCCCTTGGCATACAGGATTCAGAACTTTGCAAAGCCAATATACAGTCCTTCCAATTGCGAAGTACGTTCCCGTGAAAGAAACCCTCTGACCTAGAAAGTAAGTTACCTTCTCCATACTCATTTGTCATCTCTAAATAGTCTGCTGCACAGTAGACCATCACCACATTTCTTGGTGTTAGTTCCACCCGAATGCCATAGCAAAATTTAGCTGCAATCAAGAAAGTGTCAGGACCGCCAGGGAATTCCTCAAGCACCGTGGATAATCTCTTTTCACGAGCACTTTGATGTTCTTCACAAATGTGTGCTATCTTCCCACATTTTGACACAAGAGGAAACTGGACAATCACGCATAATCATAAAAATTCCTCCAAAGTTAATGGCACAGTTACAAACTTTTTTATTATTGACATCCTTATATGAACCTTTGTAATGACTAAACTAGAGTAAAATACAAAAAGAAAGGGGAAACTTTAAGTCATTGCATCAATTACAAGTTCACAGCAACAGGAAAAAACACATGCTGGCACAGAAAACCTATCTAGCTACTTAAGACAGATAATCATTGGCAAGATGAAGTTGCACTATGCTATCTGCAAGACCTGCAACTAACAAAAGTTTAACAGAGCTTAGATAACAAATATCATATTTTGATCTTATTTTCTGATTTATATATATATATATATATTTCTACTGACAAACATCACTTCTCCACAAAGACTTCTACAGGGATCAAAAGACCCTCCTCACTTAAAGTTTTTCCAGTCTTTCTTTCTTGGACTACAACTAACTAGATTATAAGAAAGTGATTGATAAATGCTTTGCTAACAAAATTTCCATCAGATATTAGGCAAAAATCATAAAGCTGTATATATGATAGGAAAACAACTCTATTTGATCAAAAATCTCATGGGCATGTATTTTGTCAAGAAAATTCAAATTATGTACTAAATCATTTCAAGTCCTATACCGAGTTTACTAAAGACCGGTGGCCCTGTTTAGATCAAAATAAGGCCTTCAAAAATATAAACAGGAGAACGACAAAAGAACTAAAATCTCATCCCAATTCAAAGATATACAATGAACAATGGACGTTAACAGAATATAAGGAAATCAAAAACGCAAAAAAGTCTGAAAATTGAAAATTGGCTTACCTTGTGAAGATGGAATTTTATGCTGTTGATGATAATGACTATATCACTTGGCAAACTTGCATTATACAACCTGACAAACCAATAAAAATCAAATTACCTCCAACAAACCAATAAAAATCAAATTACCTCCATCCTCCTTCAACACTATTAGAAACGAATGGTTTATCCATGAATTTAAAGAAAAGGCAGCTATCATTATAATTGAGGTAATTATATGAACAGAGAGGTGGTGAAACATGACAACAATTGTTGCTGAAAATTAAACCAAAATCAGCTTACCCATCAACGGAAAGGAGAAAATAACTGGACATCAAACTCATATGAACAACGGAATAGGGAAGAATACGTGCGTGCTTACCAGTCATCTCCCTCTCTGTAGAACCCAGAAACCTTGCCCGCAGGGGCCATGGCTGAGGTAAGGAAAAAACCCAACTTTGAAGGGGAAGAGTAGTAAACGCACCGCTCAAAATGAAGAGCTGCAAAGTCAGGTTTCAAAAGGCAAGGAAAAACAATGTTACCTGTTCAAGAGGTCATCACTACCAAAATTTTAATTGCGAATAAAAGGAAAAATGGCAAAACAAAGAGAGCCACACAGGGTCAAAAGGGGGCCAGTGGCACCCAGTGGGGCTTTAAAGCTAAGAAAAACCGTAGTGCGTATCCCTGTCTTCGTTGTTCATCAAAAGCCGTAATTCCATGGCCATACCCATTTCACAAGGAACAGGATGGACCATATAGTTACTAAATAAGCTAAGCACTAAACAAAAGATCAGAAAAAGAGAACCCTTTAATAATCCACCAAAGAATTCACAAATCACGACAGGAAACCGACTAGGGAACGATTGTAGTGGAAACAACAAAGGGTAGGACTGAGTTTGTAGCACTGTTCGTTGTTTTGTGTGCTCTTTTGTAGCAGACTCCTATAATTGAAATGGGTCAAAGTGAGTAAAACAAAAACAAAAGGAAAGTGGAAAAAACTGGCACACGAGGGCTACCAGTCAGGCTTCTGCCTGTTGAGGGAGGGGAGGCAGCGGGACAAGGCGGACGAAGAGAAAAAGGAGTTTGTTTTAGTTTTTGATAATTGATTAGAAATTTGTCTGGCGCTTTTTGTCGAACATTTTGCCTGCAATCATGATGAGGTACGCATTGGATTTTTCCTTTTCCATTTCCTTTTCCCCGTCATTTTAGGAGTTTTCCTCCTGGTGATGGCAGGTCGCGACTGTTTTAATGAAGGGACAGCTGTGGGACTCGCGGCGGCCGTCGTCGGCGTCGTTGTCGTCGTCGTCATTTTTTTTCCCTTCATGTGCTATATTTACAATATACGCGACGAAAAAGGCCATTTCAAGTTAGCAACTCTTATTCCCAATTGAAGAAATCTCTAGAAAAAGCCACATATTCTGTCTCCATTTTCACTTTCATTTTTCAACCCGAAACATCATAATGCAGTGAGGGGCCAAAGTGGGTAAGAGGTCAATTTTTTCGCTTGGCCTTATTAAGAGGTCAAATTTATGCGCCCAGTTGCGAATGCTCTTCAGTTCACCTAGAAAACTTGGAATCTAGCTTTTCCGCTAAGTTGGGCTAGTGATAGGCTGATAGCGACTAGGGAGTAGGCCTGTTAGTTTGGGCCTATCTTGGGTGGACTGCAATCTTGTCTCGCAACTTTTTATGGGAAAGAAACAATGACTTACCATCCACATAATTGCGTTTGTCATTTTCTCAACCTTCACAAGTTGATTCCGGCCAATAACTGACAAACATCAATGATCAACCCATGGGACGACTTTTCCCTGGAGCAGTTCAAACAAGAAAATTGAGGAGACAGATTATAAAATCCTAGTGGCTTCCACTTCCGTCGCAACTGGTAACCAAATCCTGGAAAAACTTCAAACACATTGAAAATCGACATGTTCCTGAGACCCCCGAAGTGTAAAGAAAATACTGCTAAATTCATAATTACTAAATTAGTATTTTTATAATTTTGGGAGCTAAGAACTTGGCTCCCGCTACCGCAAATCTAAATTTTCGTAAAATTAAATGAAATTTACAAGTATATAATTAATATAAATAATAATTTACGAAATATGTGCCTGATAAGATAAAACAAAATAATACAACACAACCCATGTTAGACAAAAACAAAATGGAGTGATGAAGAGAAAACCACATCACGCAGAATCAAAAACCGCTTTCTTTGTATAGTACTCCAACGTGCCGTAGCCAAAGGAAGATTACACTAAACACAGCATAGTTCCCTTACACAGATGCCCAAAAAAAAAAAAAAATTATTGCCTATACGCCAAGTCAACCATTAGAGATATATTTAAGACATATTTGAAAAGAATTGAAATATCTGCCTATAAGCACATCTCATCTCATCTTTCCTTTCTCATTCCAAAGTACCGTCTCCCTTGAGCTAAGATGCAACAGATTTTGCCATGGCCTTCTTAATAGCCTCGGCATAAGTCCTGTGCTGATATGTCAGGGTTGACTCAAGCAAGTCCCAAAGTGAAGTCTTGGGGTTCCAGCCTGGAAACAATGAAACACTTGTAATCAGAACTCTCCAAGAACCTCAAGGGTCAATGGAAACATGAAGAGAAAGAACCAAGGGAGCCAGATAATACCAAGTTGTCTATTTATTATGGTCATGTCCGGAATTCTCTTGTCACTATCATCATATCCCTCACCATAAAATTCTTTTGAACTGACATCAATTGTTGGTACCTCTAGAGATGGTTCTCCACTAACCTTGGCATATACCTGAAGGATCAATGCAGAATACTTTTAATTCCAAGATTGGATACAGAACAAGAAAAGTAATTTGTCATAAGAAAAGAAGAAGCAACATAGTATAACTAAATCCATCACCTCAGTCATCATTTCAGCAAGTTGCTTTACTGTAACTTCGTTGTGTGGGTTGCCAACATTGAAAATCTGCCCATTGGCTCTAGCTGGATTTTCCTGGACAAAAGATCAATTACTTAAGTTAATTCTTTCGTGTGCCAAATCAAAAGATATCAAGGGATTAAAAGTTAATACACACAATCATTAAAAGAACAGCTTCAATAGCATCCTTTATGTAGACAAAAGTTCTCTGGGATTGGCCACCATCCACAAGCTTGAGTGGCTCATGTCGTAGGAGATTCTGGTGCAGGAAAAGAAAGAATAACATCAAAATTAAAAAAAATCAAAAGAATGATGTATCTCACACCTTATGGCCATGAAAGAAGTTAAACCTACATTACTAAAACATGCCAGAACCCGTGGGACACCCTCACTTGGACCATCAATACCAGGAATGAAGTCCATCCTAGGTCCAATCCAATTGAAAGGTCTAACAATGGTGAACTCAAGACCATTCTCTGCACCCTCAGCTGCAACGAGTAAGGGAGAGATCAGTAAACAGATTTAACAAAGTTCATTATACAGATCCACAGAAACAACTGATAGAAAACAAGAATGCTCACCATAAATGAGCCTCTCAATCAATTGCTTCGCACAAGCATAGGACCACCTCTGCTTCTCAATAGAACCAAAAATACAAGGGGAAGCATCTTCTGTAAGAACGTAATAGGCAGGATCCTACCAAGAATTCAAAATAAGTATACAGATCACAAAAGTCAGCAAAAGGTAGACACAAAAAGCAAACTATCAGCCTGAAATTAACATCTAAATGATATCAAAGTAAACCCTAAAGAAGCCTGTTATCAATCAATAAGAACTGCTGCTATTGATTTGCCAAAAAATTTTATGCTACCATCAACATTTTAATATTATCATGCCAGCGCAAGGTACAAATGACACTGACATAAACAACTCCCTAATCCTCAAGCATGTATAGCGAATAAGGAAAACAATAGACCATATGAAGAAGAATGACAACTAATTAATACATCAGGCCAAAGTATATGAGTACAAGTTATGCAACATTTGAAAAAGCTGTTTTAATCATTATCAGGGATCACCATGCATTATGGGAACAATACACCCTCAGATTCTAATACCAATAAGATTCAATTTTAATACAAATCTATAGAACTTATGGATATCTTCCTTGAATAAAGAAGGAGAATTTAGTTAAGAAAATACAAGCACATTATCTAACCATTCAAATTACCATACCAGACCTTAAACATCACAATCACCTAGAACAAAAATCCTAAACTGAAGAATGGATAAAAAAACCAATTAGAAAATACAAATCACATAGGTCAATTCAAGTAAGCCCATATTCTATGAATTTAAAATACAACCATTTTAATTTCCTCCAAAGCAATATAGAATAGGACAGATACATACATCCAGAAACTCATAAATACAAGATCATAACCAACTTCAAAAGCATAGATCTGAAGTCTGTACTATAAAAGAAATAATAAATAATTCTTCAAATGATATAAAATGTTAAAGAGAACATGGAATGAAAGAAGAAAGCGAACACTTACCTGACGCAGTGGAGAATCTTTAGGAAGAAAGCTCCCAATCGTTTTCCCATACACTTCACAAGTGGAGAAGTGAATCAGACGCTTGTTGTTCTCTGAACAGTACTTCACCTAAAAATCAAAATCCAAATTAAGTTCAACTTGATCTCAACAACAACAACAACAACCAAATCTCCACAAATCAATGTCACTCAAAAAACAGAAGGAAAACCGCCAAAACTTTAGAGAGTTTTTTTAAAAATGGGGAACTAACAGAAACAATAATGCATACCACAGGGAGCGCATCGATGAAATTGCTGTAAATCGTGTCCAGAGGACGCGTATTGTAATCCGCTGGAGTGCAGATCGCCGCTAGATTTATAGTCTAAACAGCCAAAAATACACCAATACTCTATCAGTCGTCAAGAATCCAACAAGAACATTTAAGAAACAAAAAAATGACCAGGATTAGCACAGAAAATGACTCATGCACAAACGAAGCTACTAACACGAAAGAGACGGGAAGCATAACAGAAATTCCTAAATCATTATCAAATAAAGAGAGCAATGACTTGGTAACTAAAAAATTTAACTGGATCTAACATGATAGAGGCAACAATTTAGGTTGCCAACTTAAAATGAGAGCATTTTCAATCATCCGAATACAAGAACACGAACATAGATATAGAGAAAAAGAAAAAGAGAACAATAGAGCAAGAAATCAAGGAAGAAAAAAGGAAAGAAACTCACTAGATCTGCCATCTTGATCAGGCCTTCGAGCCTGGAGTCATTCTTGATGTTGAGTCGGTGGAACTGGATGCGGTCGGCCCAGGGAAGGGAATCCGGTTCGAGGAGGTGCTTGATCTTGTCATTGTAGACATCCAAGGCAAGCACCTTGTGCGGCGTCTCCGCCATGAGCTTCTCGCACAGGTGTGACCCTATGAATCCCCCCGCTCCAATCATACATATCGTCATCGGCTTAATCGGCCTCCCGTCCAGATCCAATCTGACGCCGGTCGCCATTTCCTTTGCAAATGACAGTCGAGATTCCTCTCAAACACGCCGGTTCTGTAGCACCGGAAGGAGGTAACAGCGGTTATCAGTTAGAGAACGGTACAGAGAAAGAAGATACGGATGTTAATGCGTATGTGTTGAGGAAAAGGAAGAGGGTCCGTGGTGTATTTATCGGGGAGGGAGGGAAAGGAAGGAAAGGAGAAGACGTGACCTCTCTGGGCTACATACATCAATTGCGGTTTGGGGTGCAAAGGGACTCGCGAGTGTAGCGAGTGAAAAATACTCGCGCTCTTTGTAGAACGCGTGTCACGTCTTGGGATGGATTTTGCTTTGTGGGGCTAAGGCTTTGCGGTGCATTTTGTTTATTGGCCGAACCGCCGAAAGTGGTGGAATTTTTTTTTTTTTGGAAAGATTGAAAAATTGAATAAAAAATATTGTGTAATTTGAATTGTTATTAATTATATAATTTTAATTATTAAATAATTTTTTAAATTTGTGTCTTTTGAATATAAATTAAATCA